CCCAGAGGGACAGGACTGTCAGAGACCAGCGACTCAGCTGCTTCTACCCTGCAGGTAAATGTTCATTTATTATATGTATATTTAGTGAGTTGAAATTGATTTTACTTCACACTGTAAGTCTGGGAATGAATGAAAGATACATTTTAACATATAATAACACTCACGTCCAGGGGTGGGCTTGGGTTGGAAATCAGCCAGGGAGTGTGCTTTGGAGAGGCCTTTTATCTTATTGCATAATGGATGCATGTGGAACAATAATTTTAACACTAAAACTGTATTTGCAGCATAAAAACACAGTTTTTTTCTCCAACAATCAAAACATGTTACGTTTGTATGTATTCAATGTTACAAATTAAAAATACCAATTAGTTTGTATAAGTTCATTAAACAAGCAGCTTATCTTAAAAACCAAAGCAAATATTTAGGAACAAAAACACAGCCTCCAAGGTATACAGACATATAACATCATAACTTCCCCCCCAAACATAATGAAACTGTCATAACTTACATCATTAACAACTTGAGAAGAACACTGGACTCTGCAACTCTGTCCATAACTGCATCATTTTCTAAAGTCATCAAGGCCTCTTTCTCTCCTCCTCCTCCTCTTCCATCTCCATCTTTTTTTCTTCTCTGCCATCATCTGTCACTTCTTCTTCCTTACTCCTGTGACTGGCACCTGTTCCTCTGCATCAACTCCTCAACTGACACTGGCCTTTTCAGCTAGTAAAAACAATAACAGCAACAATGATCAATTTTAGAGCACTACTAGCAAAATAATAATAATAATAAAAATCATCACAGTTTTATAACACAAATACAACACAAGAAATTTTTTAACCCCCCCCCCCCACACACACACACACACACACACACAGTAAATGAATTACTCACTGTAATGTATTTTTCTCGAGCTTGTAAAAATAGCTCTGTATTAATGTAGAAACAGAAAAGAAAAACAGACTCCTCAAATATGTTTCATTTTGCAATAAAGTAACGTGCCTTTTATGGATTGATTTTAATTTTATTTGATAAAGCAGATTAAATATTTATGTATTTATTGTGTAACAATACTGAAAGGCTTACTTTAATGTTCTGTGTGTGCCCTGAATACACCCAGAAACCCAAACATATTATAAGCCAACTCTGAGATGGATGATAGGTCCATGTGCTTGCTGTATCCATGCTGCTCGGTCCTGTTCTCATGCTTTAGTCATGTGACTTTGGCCCCTCCACCCCAGAAAATGTCTTCCATTTTAACGCATTTGGCTGCATCTTGCACTAACTTTTTATTTTCTTTTTCCTGAATTTTCTGCTCCAACCATGTATTTCCCCTTTCTTCTGTAGCATGTTTGATACACGCTCTTCTTTCTTTTTTTTTTTTTTTTTTTTTTTCCAAATTGGGAGGGACTACTCGCGCGTGACGTTTGACTGACACAGCAGCGTAATAAAATAAAATAAAAGCATTGATCACCACCGGCGGGTTCGGCCTATAGAACTGACTGGCCGTTCGGATATCCTCCCGAACTTCCCTATGCCCAGTCCGCCCCTGCTCATGTCTTTATCGTAATACATTTGAATATGTAAAATTCTTCAACATAATCTATTTGTTCTTCTGTTCAAAAACATGCTTTAAATTTTAACACATCATTAAAAAATTAATCAAATAATAACGTAACGAATTTTTAAGCACATACAAATAAACACAGAACATAATTTAACTGTAAACATGGTTTTATCTTTCGTTCGGATTTAATTCCTGTTTTAACAATGCGACGTACTTTAATAACTTTTTTTCCCACCACTTTGGGAATACAGGAAAAAAAGTAAATAAAATTAAAATAACATCATAATTTGTTTTCTATCCACTACAACGGTATTTATTTCTCAGCTTTAACTTATTAGGTTCTATATATTTTACGGTGGCGCTGTTTTATTCTTAAAAAAAGCAGCTTTTGACCGCCATGACAGGGAGCGGATGTCTGAGCAGCAGATTTCTGGGAGCACAGGACAGCTCCATGGTGCTGAAACAGCGTTTGGAAAACAGCTGCAAACCGATTACTTTTATCTATTACACGGTTTATTAGGGTCCTGGAGGGAGTACAAACCATGCCTTTGTAACAATTTTCCTTTTTTTTTTTTTTTTTTTTTTTACCGAAAGCTTGTCTTTTAAATTTCGAAATACTCCTGATTATAACAATGGCTCCCGTTGGAACAAAGGCTTCACTGCCAAGGTACGTGCTGCTCTTTATTCTTTTCATTCGAGACACTTCAACCTCCGTGACTCATTACTCTATACCTGAGGAGATGAAGGAAGGATCAGTCGTTGCAAACCTCGCCACAGATCTCGGCCTGGACGTTAAAACACTGACAAAGAGAAAGATGCGCCTCGACGTCATCGCTAACAAGAAATATCTGGATGTGAACAAAGACACTGGAGAGCTGTATATTGTAGAGAAGATCGACAGAGAAATGATTTGCACATTTAAAGCGTCTTGTTATTTAAGACTGGAAGTCACATTAGAAAATCCAGTGCGGATGTTTAACATTGAAGTAGAAATTTTGGACATGAACGACAACACCCCGCAGTTCAGAAGAGACGTCATACATTTAGATATTTCTGAAGCAACATCAAAAGGGGAGCGGTTTTCTCTAAGTAATGCAGTGGATCCTGATGTAGGAACTAACTCAGTGAAAACTTATCATCTGAGTGAAAGTGAATACTTTAAAATTGAGGTTCAAACGGGAAGAGAAGGGACAAAATTTGCTGATTTGATCCTTAAAAGGACGTTAGACCGGGAGCAG